GTTTTGTTTGTTTAAATAAATCTTTTTATTTAAATCTCATCCTCCAACCGGATTTAGGTTCATTCTGCACCTCAACCTATTTGTATGTATGGATCACTTGGGTTGTTACCGACATCTGGTGAAAATTTCATGTCATTAGCTCCTCTAGTAATATATTTACTGAGAAAAATGGTGACGTGTTCAATACTTATTTTACCCTCTGTAATATGTGACTCTGCTGAACAAACAACAGGTTTATGTTGCTCTGCATGAAGGACAGATGAAGCTTATAAATCATACTAACATTTCTGAGTCTGACTTTCTCTTTCAGCAGAGGAGCATCTATTAGGAAAACAGCCTCCGTTTTTCTTTTTAACTGTTTGAACCTGTTTTTACCAACTTTCATCTCCACTCCAGAGGTATGAAAGAAATCCCAGACACTGTGGGCTGTGGCAAGCTGTGAAAAAATATTATTTCTTCAAGTCTAATTATTACATTTAGCTGGTTAGTCAACAAAATCATTCTGGACTGTAGTTGTTTTAACTAGTTTTCATTTTATTTCTTTTTTAAATAAAGGCTGACTTTTTTTTATTTTTTTTAAAAGTACTCTAATAAGAATCCAGCAGTTTGCTTTAGATTTCGTTTCCACTTTGGTAAGCCTGAGAGAACGTCATCTCCCACCTGCCCCTAAAGCATCATTGATGGTGTTCAAGGTTGACCATACAGGATACACACACACACACGCACGCACGCACGCACGCACGCACACACACACACACACACACACACACATACACACAGTAATCATTATATAAAAGTATTCCTCAGATTGCAGGCTGTCAGCAGTATACTAGGAATACATCAGGGATAAAAGTCAGCATGTGTGCGGTAACATACAGTGTGTGTAGCACACAAACACACACACACACACAGCCTGAGCAGCACATTGCTGACATCATGTATAAACACGGTCATCATGCAGAACATCATTTAACAGCTTGTGGTGTGTGTGGAAGACGTGTGGCTGATAAAATCAGCTGAAGGATTGTCACCAAGCTGCTGTAAGGGAGTGAGACGTGGCTGAAGAGTGACGCTTCACCAAACAACTGCAGGCCGACTCAATGAGCTCTCTGCCCTCGTGGCTCCGCACAACACTCAACTTTTTCATCCAAACACTGCAGCTCAGATTATACAAGATTAAGATCTAATCAGATGAATTACACTGAGAAGACACTTGTTCGTATTAATAACAGATTAATACACATTTTTTATCCTCTTTTGTTGAGGTGGTCCTACACTTTGACCCTAATTATAAGCTGAAATGATTTTCTTGTTACAAAGCAAATATGTGACCCATCACATCGAAACAAGGGTTAAGTCCAAAAGTGGTGTATGGAGAAATACAGTAAGCAAATATAGTGTTTTGACTAAAATGTTGACAAAAATTGCATTTTGTCAAAATATAATGAATAAAAGCCTTATTATNCACACACACACACACACACACACACACACACACACACACACACACACACACACACACACACACCCCTACTCTCTGTGTGCCAGTCACATGAATGCTGCTGAAAACAGGCTCAGGTTTTCACTTGTGGAGCATCACGGTGAAACAGCAGCAGGGTTGACTCACAGTTAATCATAATATCATCATAAAAACTCCACTTATTACAGTCGCAGGATAACAAACTGAAAAGGTTTTACGTAGTGAGAGAAAAGCAGCATTGTGATGAACGACACACTTTTAATCTGCCAATTGCTCGTTTCGTTAAACTAACATTACAAAGATATTTAGTCATAATGATTTGATAAAATAAAAAAAAATCTGGCTTATAAAAAAAACTAAATGAGGAAGCCTTATTATATATATTTTAGCATCAGTTCTACTTGTTTTAACTTTAAGTTTCAGCATTCAGCATCCACACATCATTTTTCTAGAGAAAGCAAATATCTTCAGTTGTTTTTAYTTTTAAAGATAAGCAAACAGCAAAACTTGAGGCTCCATTAGATTTTATGTTACAGCAGCTGCTTGAAGTACATGCATAATTTAAATAAACCCTGAAACAAGTTTGCCTGTGCATCAACATATTCATGTATGTTCAAGTAACTATTAGACTTCAGAGTATTTACAGTCTGAAAGCTCCTGAAGAATAAAGCAGGCTGCAAATAGACCACAGATCAACAGATGCTAAGCTGGCTTTAGTGACTTGCTGGACACTGACTGGAAACCTGCTTTTCATTTTATAGCAGAATAAAACCGTTCACCTCATTTACTTTATTTCAAAATAATCTGTATCAGAAGCAGGATCCAAATGAAATCTGCACAAAACTTAAGGAAATGTTTTTGATAACTTAGAGCATAGTTAGGCAYGACTCTGCTGTTTGACCACAAACAAATAACACTTGTTTTGTTTCATGCACAAGCATCATGTTGCTCCTTCTGCAGAGAAAAAGCTCATTTCTTGTGTTAATTTACAGCCGAAAGCTCCTGTGTGAGTGCACGAGACCTAATAAACCACAGAGGAGGGAATCTGAGAGCTTCCATTCGAGTTTCCTGACGCCACAACACATTTTTAATCACAAGCAGTTAACTGTGTGTGGATTGGTATGGGTGTGTGCGATGGGCCCGTGCACTTTTCAAGGGAAGCAATTTTACCACCAAATCCAATTAATTTGAGAGTGCTTGTAGGCTCTTTAGAGTATTTCTGTTGTGCAGAGGCAGTTTGAGCAGGCAGCAGTGTGGGTCCTATCAGCAGGGAGTCAGTGTCAGCTCTGTTGGGCTCTTTCTTTTTGTGTTTCTTTCCCCACCTCTGGAGAAAACTTGCTGAAAACGTGCTTTAACACAAAAGAAAGCAGATTCAAAAAAAGTCATTATTCCTTAATTTTCAGCTCTTACATTGGAGAAGGGTTCAGCCTAGAGTTAAAGCACCTCAAGGAGTCATTTCTACTTAAACTTCAGCTAAATGATTCTTAYTTATTATACATCAGTAGAATAACTTAGAGATATCTCAGTGTATTTCTGCATCATCCTGAATTAAGACGTCTTCTTAAAATGTTTATAAGAATTCAACATTTTTTTTAGATATAAAACACCTTTATGATCACGCAGAGAAAAGGGCATGAATACTTATATAATTATCACATTAATTAATTTGCAAACAGCTGCTTCACCTTGGCATTGGAAATGTGTGACAAGTGCTCACACCTGAGTTGTGTTTAAACTCCAAGACTTCAGTAAAATATACTGCATAACAGCTGTTTGTTTACATTAATTTCCTGGCTGTGGTTAATTCTGTTCATATATAAAGCAAGTTGACAAAAGCTCTACAGTAATCATCAGCTGCCTCCAGTTGTATATAATAGACTGGAAATTAATGAAACCAGTAATTAGTTGAGCTTAATACCTTCAATAAGAACAGTCAGAATTTCAGCAGTAACGTTTCTGTCTTAATGACTCTC